TTCCCCTCTCTGCTCTACGCCTCCTAGTCCCACCGATTCGGCTGGTTTCTGCAGCAATCTGGCAGACAGTGGAGCAGAGAATTGTATCGGATTATGGGCTACTTGAAGAGTTTGTATTTATGGTCACAGAAATTGTTCCTCAACTTCTCTCCACAAGGCAGCGGGCTGAACTCATTTTGGGTCTAAGAGCACGGGTGAGGAAGAGTCGCTGTTCTTATTTTTCAAAACCACTGAAATGTGAATCAAATAAGATGAAATTGATTTTTGTGCTGGATAATTGGAAATTTTGAAATAGTTGGAAGGTGAGGGGTATGTAAATATCACAGACCCAACAAAACACCATAAATCTTTCTCCTAAAGAATTGTAGGAGAAGAGTAGTTCATCATTTGCCTGTTTTGTGTATGAAGCGCCTTAAGGCTGACTAGTAAATGATTAAAAATTTTAATTAAAATAGTTGTATCCTTTCAGGCAGTATTGTAGGTTTGAGACCCAAAACAAGCCTTTTGTTGAGTTTTGATCCTTGCTGGGTGTAGAGGTCTTGACACAACATTTGCAGGCTTCTCCATGTGCTTTATGAAAGTGAATAGTAGCCATTTCAACTGACAGAACGTTTTTAAATTAGTCTCGCTTAATTTTAGAAGATGATTAAAATGGCACACATTCTCCTCCTCATCCATACATTTAACCTGTTGTACAAAATCCTAACTATCTCTGTTATTTAAGAACAGCAGTGACTGGCAGCCCCTGCCTTCTTGGGAAGTCACTGTTTTGCTTTAAATTGGATAAAAACTATCTACTGATATTGTACATAACTGGAACATTTAAATGGTAAGCATAAATATATCTAGTCAATGTGACAGGTTCACTGACCATTAACATTCAGTGGATGGTTATTTTTTAAGTGTGAATAGGAACAGAGCAGTTGGGTGAGCAATTCTGGACTATGCTTTTCCTCGGAATCATTTTTTCATTGTGGCTGCTGTCCTCTGATTGTAGCTGATCCTGGAGTTGTGTCGTTCTGAGGAGACTGCTGATCTCCAGATTATTCAGCCACATCTTGACCGGCTGCAAAACCTCAGATCCCTTTGGAATGTGGAGGTGGGTCTAAATCTGCTGTCAACAAAATTAAATGTATTTGGGTGTTGTTTTGTTTTTTGTTTGTTTGTTGCATAACTGCTGTTTGATTACTGTTGATCCACGTTTTTGCTTTTAGATCACACTAAAAGCAAAAATGTTTTTCTTTGTTCATCTGCAGTTATTGTAAAATGTATTAAAATCAGGGGACACATTTTGTCATTATAATTCTCTAAAACGATACTGTCTTTTTTAAACCATGTTTACTTGCAGGCTGATGATGCAGAGCAAGAAGTATCTGAGTCACATTTCATGCATCTTGTCCACAATCTGCTGAGAGATGCTGAAGAGAGAAGAAACTTTTTCCAGGTTAAGTTTTAGTTGTATATTAATTTAGTGTTGGGCACTTCAAGCTAAAATGCTATTTGATAAGTGCTGGGAACTATGCGATAATTAGTTGAAGATCATGGACCGACCATTTGCCAGGTTTTCAGCAGTATGCCACGCCGGCATTGCTATAGTCTGGAGAACAACACTTTGTATTTTCCAGTTGCTTATATAACGGCATGTGACTATTGCATAGGATTCAGTTGTAAGCACTGTCCATGCATTCGTGGTCAGAGGCAACATTTCAGCACTTGTCAAACAACTGTGCAGCTCACATGCATTATCATCATACAGTTGTGCTGGGACCCTTTTTCATGCTGTTTATATTTCAAGTCAAGTGTTTATTGTTATATGCACAGTGAGGAAACGTGTTTCCCTGTACAGTGACATTTTTACTTGGCTGTCCGCACGAATGCCACACAATATAAATGAAATATAAAGTAGATACGTAGGTGAAACAAAAGCTAAATCACAAAATCTAGGGCACTTTAAAACAGCCAATGAAAGAAGCATAATAAAAAATACAAAAACACAATATAATGAGAGAGAATGTATGCTACATAGGAGCTGTGTGTGCAAATAGTCAGCAGTGAGTGTGCAATTATGCATGTGCAAACTGAGTGTGTAAACAGTACAGCTGGAATTACATGAGGTAGTTCCTGAGTCTGATGGCACTTGGGAAAAAAAGAATTTTTCAGTCTAGAGGTCCTGCATTTCATAGTCCTGTACCTCTGGCCCGAGGGTAGAGGTGTGAACAGAGGGATGGGTGGGGTCTTTGAAGATGGAGACAGCTTTACTATGCACTATGCACTTATGTAGGTGCTCTGCAGAGAAGGCAGTGGAGTCCTGGTGATGTTCTCTGCAGTCTTTACCACCCTCTGCAGGCGCTTGTGGTCTGTGGCAGGTGCTGTAGTAAAATGATGTACTGACCTCGTTATTGCATTATTTCCAGGTGCCGGTTAAAGCAAGGGAAAACAGTGACTCTTTGTTTTTAAAGAGCCCATGGTATGGTAATTTCTGGCCATTTAATGTTTAAACTTGTGTACTTCTAGATTAGCATTGCACCCATCATAACTCCAAATAGTCTGTAATTATTTCAGAAAGATAAAACCAGAAAGCCTCTTCCTAAAACCGAGAGGATAGTTTGTGAACATGCACAACTCCTGCTGGCTGTGTTACGTTGAAAGTGGACAGCTCAATGAACTGCATTAATTAGAACTTCTCCTCCATAGACAGGTAAATAATGCTATATGTACAGATAAAAAGACATTTGTAATACTAAATAAAGCAAGTAATTGAGGACCCCCATATTTTAACTGGCATAATAGATGTAGTAACTTCTCCAGCCTTACAACAGTTCTGTCTGATGTTACAGAGACAAGGCATTAACAGGCATGCAATGTTTTCTTTTTTGTTTTGTTTTTACTTACCGTTAAGTCCCACAAGTAGTGGAAACCGCTCCATTTCAAGCTTAAAAAACTGCTGCTGACAATGGGTCTGGGTGGGGCTCCTTCCTTGTGTATTTTGGGTAGGCCATAAAGGCAAGGGATGGCCTCCCCGGGATATAGTCTGTAGTATAGTCGCCGGTCAATATATTCTATATTCCTCCTTTTCCAGCTTCTGTACACAGTCTATAACCTTCTTCTTGTAGCCACTGGTGGGGTCCATCTTCAGTGCTTCATAGGTGGTGGTGTCACTGAGGAGGTTGGAGGTCTGATAGTCAGCTGAGTTTGGGACTACCGTACATCTGCCTTTGTCTGGAGGCTATTTTTGTAAAAATAGAACACCCCTCAGTAAATAGGGGTAGTGGACTAAGACACAACTTGTCATCCATCTACAACTCTGTTTTGAGATCTCTGCCCAAATGTGCCCACCAGGACAATAGGCGTCGGTCCATGGGTGAGGGTTCAAAGACAGGTAACGACGCTCACCGATACTGGGCTATAACGACTCAGTCGTTAGTGGACATTTTTGGCCATCAGAGGACTGAAACACCACCGATGGGGATAAATGTCTCTGGCTCAACGCCAGTCGGGCTGAGATGATAAAGCCTCTTGGATGAGAGGTGAAACGTCTTCGACCTAGAAACTTAGTCCAGTTGATTTTTTTTTCTAAGTTTTTTCAGCTTACTATGACCTGGAAGGCTGAGAATCTGCATGGACACTCCATTTCAAGTAGCACCAAGGTCGGTAAATCCAACCAGTGGTTGCTGCGTCTTCCCCCACACAACTACATACAGTCCCAAAGTAGTGAAATTAATTCCAACAGGTAGCGTAGCACCTACAATAACGTCATGGATCGTTAATCCTCTCGTTAACCAGCAACACCTCACATGCAGCAGATGCATTGGCCTCAAGCAGTCAAAACAAAGAGGTACTGTGCTCCGGGGGGATCCAGGGTGCTTCACTGACCGGGTGCTTGTAGGTTAGACCCGGTCAGGTAAAGCAGCGAGTCCCTGTACAGTCTCAGACATGTGGTAACCTTATGCCCTGTGTTTTTCTCCACATCCTCTGATCACAGTGAAGGCAGCAGGAGGTAAAACCAGGTGCAGTCGAAAATTTTCGTTTTTAAAATGGCACAGGTTGTTAGGCAAACTCACATGAACACGCAACTACCTGGAGCCTATGCCTATTCAAGGAAATGAAACTACCACATAAGACTTTATTTTGTTAGGCAAAAATGTCTCATGAGCGAGAGTTTGCTGGACTTGTATAAACCGAGTTGCTTCTGCATAGAAGTACTAGTACACCTCATTTTTGGAGCTTTAGGTCACATCTAAGATGATGATAATTCACAGTTTTAACTTTGTAGATAAGTCAGAAAACAAGGAAAAGCATGCTGTGGGCTCTTTAAAGAAAAAGCATAGTCACATGAAACATCTTTCTTTCTTTTTTTTTTTTTGACTATTCAAATATTTTTGTACAAACAAATGTGTAATTTTTCTTTTCCTTTTCTGTTCTGTGTACCCATGATTTTGAAACTATGGTTTGTGTGGATATCTCAGAAACGGCATAGAGACTTATTTGAGGCATATCATTGTTTTCCAGGATGTCTTCCCAGGAGACTTTGGTCCCACATATGACAAAGCAATCCAGACATTGATGTGGCTGTTTCTGTCCAGACTTGAAAAACTTCTTCCCACAAAGACTCTCCAACAGGTACATCTAATCTATTATTTCAGAACTAGGTTATCGCAAACAACATCTCTCTTTTTTGGTGTTTTATGCTCCTATACTAAAGACTGACATTTTGCTTTAGAGAGGAACACTTTCTTTAAGTAATATTCTTAAGTTTAGTTTGATTAGATGCGGTCTGTTTTCTTAACTTCTAACTCAGACTTTCATTGCAGTGCAACACTTAATTTCAGATTTTGTTTTTTTTGTATTACTTCAAATGTATATGAAAAAAGGGATTTCACCCTGCATTGAGGAAATGCAAGTCTGCTGGCTCAGTTTTTTAATTTTGTCTTTGTTAGATTGCGTCTTTGCTCAGCAATGCCTCATCTGTTCTGAATGAATGCATGGAGACTTTCACCCAACCTCAGGACCTCAAGACCTTGCTGGACACTCAGAAAGACCTTAGCCAAATAGAAGACATTGGTGAGGTTTTCAGAATTACAGTGTTATAAAACAGTGTTGTCAAAAATATACATTTTCTTTGATGCATATCAATTCTGAAGATTCAAAAAAGTTTCTGTACTTGTTTTCCTTAGTATCGATACACTGATGCCAGTTGCACTTTCTCGCTCTCTCTTCTCTCCTACAGCGAGTACACAATGCTGCGGAGCCCACAGCCCCGTATTCTCTTACTCACAGTACTGTGTGCTTCTTGTCACTAATCTCATTTGCCCCAATTGAACTTTATACTAACACCAGACAGCAGTATATTGCAGCTTTTTCTGTAGTGTTAGCTTATTACAGATGGCAAGTCCATAGCCTCTGCATCCGGTTTTAGGGGGTGTAAAATATGAATCCAGACGCAACTGGTTTTTTTGGAGTTCTGGGCGCTATGCCATGCTAATTTGGGTGCATATTTTTGATGATGGGCTAACTAACTGTTACACACAACTTTACCTTGAGGGTTCCACAATTTTATTTATTTATTTATTTTTTACTACCACTCTTTTCCAAACAAGTGGGCTGTCCCTGGTAGGCTAGTGGTTAAGGCGCAGGGCTTTCACCGCTGCGGCCTAGGTTCGGATCCAGGTTGCATCAGGAAGAGCATCCGGCGTAAAATACGTGCCAAATGTCAATATGCGAGTCGTCAGTGTGACGATTCGCTGTGGCGGCCCCTAAATGGGAAAAGCTGAAAGTGACTTTCTTTCACTCTTTTCCGAACAAGTGTGAGTACTTACATTTGAGTACTTGCCAATACTGAGTACTTAATGATGCAGTGTTTATACTATAAAAAAAACACAGTTACTATAAAAGTGCAATGACCTTAGAGATACTTTAATTCCACTTTCTAATAGTGATTAAATAGAATATTCTATGTAACAGGAGGCTGTGCAAATTACCTAAAAACTTGATAAGTACAGTACTGCCACCATTTTTTTTGAATAACATGTAACTGACTGAATTTCTGTAGACTGCTACACAATGTACTGTAATAACAGTGGATTTGAAATTTTTTAGGAGTGTGACCCTGTGTTATGATGTAATGATCAGAATCAGAATCTGTTTATTGGCCAGGTGTGTTGGACACACGAGGAATTTGACTCAGGTACATCGGCTCTAAATGTGCAAACAGTAGACCAGCATAAGGCTGTGTAATATAACAAAATAGCAGTATTAACATCAACAGCCAGTGCAAACAATGCAGAAAAATCTCAAAGATCTCACAACCCCTGACCAGAACGTCACAGTTTAGGAGCGCATATTATCATAGTCAGCAATTAAAAAGTTGAATGAGGCTGCCTGCTTTTATGTTAGACTGGCTGCTGTCTGTGGCTTATCCTGTCCTTTCTGGTGGAGATGAGCTGCTGGTCTCAGCCTGCATGTCCACGAGAATTCAGCCCGTTTTCATTGACAGCACTCATTTAACATCACTGTTAACTCCATAGTTAGTGTTTGTTTTCACCGAGAGAGTCAGTTTCAGTCACCGGCCACATCAGCCTGCCCAGTGTTTGATTCTTTGTTGTGTCTTGTTTCTTTTCTTTTCTTTTCTCTCTCCTCTGTCCACTCGCCCCAACTGGTCAAGGCAGAAGGCTGCCCACCAAGGGCTGGGGTCTGTCAGAGGTTTCTTCCGTTGAAGGGAGTTTTTCCTCCCCGCTGTCACCAAGTGTCTGCTCAACAGGGATTTGTTGGGTTTTTCTTCTATAATAATAATAAAAATAACAGTAAGGTCTAGACCAGGGGTGGGCAATTAATTTTTACAAGGGGCCACATGAGAAACCTTAACTTTGTTGGACGGCCAAACCAACAATAACTTGAACTTAATTCTGCTCAATATTCATTATCTTCCATTGTAAAAAGCAGTAAATTATATGTGTTGATTAGGTGCTACTGGTAATCAGAAGAATAAGCATATTCTATAAATAGTTATATAAATATATGAAATTGTGGTGTAGGTCAAACAGGAAAATACTCCTATAGAAGTAATAAACAGTAAAAACAAACATTACATCACAGTTCCATTTTATTTTCAACTTCACATAACACTGAAAAGGTGTTTTGCAGTATGGTAAAGTCATATGCGCCCCTTTTTCTCTGGGCATATTAGTGCTGCAGAGTCCAGCAAACACTCTTTAATAAACTCTCCATCAGAAAACGGCTTATTTTTTATGGCGATTATGTGGGATATGACATAACTTGTCTTGAAAGCTGCATCTCTGGGTGTGGAAAGTTTTGTAAAAAGTCTGTTGGTTATGCAGTTTCACTAGCAAAGCATCCGACTCTCTTGCGCGCTCTTCCTCCGACAAGTTCTTGTATTTCTCCTCATGTTTGGTCACGTAGTGGTGATTCAAATTGTAATCCTTGAACACAGCAACCTGTGTACCACAAACTAAGCGCACCGCTTTACTTTTGACTTCTGTAAACAAATACTTTCCAGTCGATGTCTTGTTGAAAATGCGCATTTGGCATCAAATTTTCTTTTTTTGAGGGTTAGCTGGCCAACATCACCTGTCTCTCACCCGGTAGGTCGGGGATCTTAAGTTCACCCATGAACTTAATTTCATTCATGTTCTGATTTGATGGAGCTCACGCCGGCCAGACAAGGACGCCCTAAGGGCCAGATGAGGCCCACGGGCCGTAAAATGCCCTGGTCTGGTCTAGACCTTACTTTGTAAAATGTCCTGAGATGACTTTTGTTGCCTTTTGGCTTTATACAAATATAACTGAATTGAATTGACCAGTTCACTACAATCAGCATATTGAGCACCATGTTGATTCTGTTGGAATGAACAGGACGTTTGACCACAGGGAGAGTGAAGATGTTGCATTTGTGGAAGTTTGTTGTTGTATTCTGTTTCTTCAACAAGTGTGTGATTAATTACATTTGGTTTTGTTGCACATATCAAGTGTTGACATCTGTGTAATATGTAACCGTGCGTCTGTGTGAGACGGAGAGGGAGGGGCACACACACACACACACCAAAGCTGTACTTGCATTCGGCTTTACGTTTGTTGTTGCCACTTATCTTAAAATATCTCTGAACCGCGGAAATTGTTTCTCTGCCGTCTATCGACTGGTTCAGTCAGAATGAGGTTAATATAATGCTACCATTAATTAGTATCAGTGGGACAACTTTTACGAGTAGAGTAGTAGAGGGTGGTATAAGTAATGGTATACATAAGTGAATCTGTCTGTGGGTAAGTTGAGGTCCAGGAAGGATCAGTCTGGCTACTCTGTCATGCACCTACTGTATATTAAACTATTCTGTTAAATCAGTATTTTCATTTGACACAGACTAGATCAGTATAGCTTCACCTCAACCGGCTACCACAGAAAATCTTGGTTTTACATCAATTTATGAGTGATAGGCTATTAATGTAATTATATCTATAATAGTATAACAGTATAGGGGATATATAGTATAACATTTTACTGCATTGAGTAGCCTACTTTTTTAAAATTCTTTAAGTACGTACATTTTCATGATACTTTTACTTAACATTTTGAGTGCAGGACCTGTAACAGTGTAGGCTACTTTTACAGTGTGGTAGTACTTTTACTTAAGTAAAGGATGTGAATACTTGTTCTAAAGGTACTAAGATGGGAACCAACATGCTTTAGTTGCATTCTTTTTTTTATGTTTAGAATGGTTTTTTCTTCAAGGTCAATCTAGCACTGAAATTCAGCTAATTAATTGTCACAGTCAATTGCATTAAAACACCCTCTGTTTTGCCTCCTTTGAGGGTAATTGTAGCTGATAATAGTATTTGTGTAATACTGTGAAATGGTGATATTGCCTGAGAGGGAAAAGCCCATACCGTTGCAATCCTAGTTGTGAATTCTGCCTTTGTTTCTGCATGTAATGTTGTGTGTGACTTCTGTCCATCGGGCAGTGCATTCAGTACAGTGACATATGAGAACTTGTGAGGCAGACAACCGTGCTTGCTTTTTAAAAAAAAAAACAATCAAGTATTAGTTTTTGCAATTGAATTTCATTATGTAATTGAACTGGGGGCACCTGTGGCTCAGGAGGTAGAGCGGGTCTTTTCCTAACCAGAGGATTAGCAGTTCGATTCCCGGCTTGTCCAGTCAACATGTTGAAGTGTCCTTGAGCAAGACACTGAACCCCCAGTTGCTCCCGGTGATAACACCGGTTTGGGAGTGTGAATGGCCAAGTAGTGTGAAAGCGCTTTGAGTGTGCTGTAAAGCATAGAAAAGCGCTATACAAGTATAAGACCATTTACCATTTTACCAACTTTGAATTTTCATTAACAGCCGTAGTTGTTGAATTTTCTAAGATAAGCTAATTCCTCTCAGAGCTATCAGATTCAGCTTGTAAGAAAATACTTAAGTTAGATGCTGTTGTGCTTAACACACATTGTGTGACAATCTCAGAAGCCCTTGAACATGTACTACCTCCAGAATAAAAAAAAGACAAAGTACAAAAAATAATTGGCTGTCTACTAAACAGTTATTCTGCTGTTCTCTGCTACTGGCCAAGAAAAGTCGTACCTCATTGTCATGTTATTGCCTTGTTATGCTTTTAATTCAAATGTAAAATTTTATGCCATCAAATGGGTGTCAGTTTTTCCTTGTGGTACTGAAAATTGTATTGAATAATGACATTTAAGGTATTGTATCAAAGTTAGAAATTCAGTACCAGGACAACACTGTTGCCAAATTTATTAGATATTAAACTGTACAGACACAAAACACTATTGCTCAGTAACATTACTGTACACCAATTTATCTTTCAGCAAACATGTTCCACTTTTAGTAGCAGCATTTTTGTATATCTATTAGAATAGTTGTTTTTATAGTGTCTCAATTTGTCACTTTAACATTGAATGTAATTTTTATTTTCAGATTCTTACATTGTTGAGAGTGACATCTTGTCAGCCCTGTGTCTCCCTCCTGTGGAAAGAGTTGTGATCGTCAATGAGCAAACGGAGACAGGTGTAGAGAGTGGACTTGTGTATACAGTTTGCACAGAGATGGAGGTGGAATCTGAGAACAAAGACATGTATGTGGAGGCAGCTCGTAACTTGGAGTGTGCACAAAATCAGTGGTTTGATGTTAGTAGTCAGGTGAAAGCAGAAATGGGCACTGCAGTGGTTACACATTCCATCGAAGGCACTGAGGCTAATGAGAGTGAAATGGCAGATGACCACCATGATGACCAATCAGGAACACTGATCATTGGAGAGGATGGCCAGGTGACTGTGTTGGATGGAGTGGGAAAAAAGCCAAGCAGACGTGGGAGGAAAAAGAAATGTCCAGCAGATGAAGACTTCAAAGTGCAAAGCAGAACAAGAGGCAAACAAGAAGACCCGGAATTTGATGTTTTGTGGGAAAGACCAGTACGAAAGAACCGTGGACTCAAAATGAAACGGTACCTATCTCAGTGGAGAAAATCAGGAAGGTCACAGGGCAGTAAAGCTGCTAACAGCCCTAAAAGCTTTGCCAGATCCCAAGGTTCAACCAAAAGCAGTGACTTGGATGAGAGAACATGCAAAGTGTGTGGCAAGGTGGTGACTCGTGCCAAGTTCTTAGAGCGACACATGAATCGACACTCTGAGGAACTCCCCTACTCTTGTCCTGCATGTAAAAGGTTTTATAAGAGCTTGCGTTACTTGCAGCAACACAGATGTCCAAATGCAGCAAAAGGCAGAAAAGCACTGGAACAAGAGACAGCAGCAGATAAGGGTGAACAGTCAACCAGTGTGACTCCTTGTGAGGCAACCAGTGATGAGCAGCCATCAGATAACACCACCCAGGACCCTGATTACTCTCCCTCTGCAGAGAGGAGGTCTACCAAAGAATCAGGACAGAAAACCCCAGAAGGAAACAAAATAATAGAAGGTCCATTCTACTGTCCTCATTGCAGTGTTGAGTTCAAGTGCAAACAAACTTTTAGGTTCCATTTAAGAAACATTTGTTACAATGAGCAGCAAGTGGATCCCGAGAAGCCTGAGGATGTGAAGCACTGTTTCAGGTGTAATGAGTGTGACAAGGCATTTAAATACAAATCAACATTGGATTCTCACAAACAGACTCACAACCCACTGTACTGCGAAGTATGTATGAAACTGGTGCGTGACTCAGAGGCCTTAGCAATGCACAAGGAATCCCACACACCATTTCAGTGTAATCAGTGTGAGGAGAACTTCCCTGTGTTCAAGGCCCTTCACAAACACTACATTGATGTCCATAATCCCAGTGAACCTTTTACTTGCACCCACTGTCAGACAACATTTGCCAGTTTGAAGCGTTTCATCAGACATGAGTGGAAACACACAGGTTACCAGCCATTTCAGTGCCCTCATTGCAGTAAAAGATTCAGATCATACTCTGACCTTGTGGAGCATCAGAAAAAACACACTAAGGCATATCCATTCCTTTGCTGGGAGTGTGGCAAAAAATTCAGACATGGTGTAACACTGACAAGACATGTGGAGCGTGTGCATCACTCTGGTGAACCCGTAACTGAAAAACCCACACCCACTTTCACCTGCGCTCAGTGTGGGAAGACCTTCACTTCCAGAAGATGTCTTCTGAAACATGACAATTTCCATCACAAAGGACTACGTTTCCCATGTGAGCACTGTGGGAAGGGATTTTTTGGCAAGGATGCATTGGTGAGGCATACTCTGATTCACACGGGTGAAAGGCCCTTCAAGTGCGATGACTGTGACAAATCCTTCAGATCTGCAGCAGAATTAAAGATACACAGGCGATACCATACTGGAGAAAGACCATTTAAGTGCAGCATCTGTGAAAAAGGTTTTGTCCAGTCCTGCTTTCTCACCTTGCACATGCGAACCCATACAGGGGAGAGGCCATATGTTTGTACAGTGTGTAACAAAGGCTTTTCAAGCTTGCATGGCTTAAAACGACACAGGAGGCTTGTTCATGCATAGATAATATTAATACACCCCATAGGGGTGGTAAATGTGTAAAACAACACAGGAGGCTTGTTCATGGATAGATAATATTAATACACGCCATAGGGGTGTTCTCTTTAACATTCCCATAACGAATGAGGCCAGAGGTATGCATCAGCTATAGATGAGGACTTGAGGAACTGTTAAGGATTTGACCTCTTGCTCAAGGATACTTGTATGGGTGCTGACTGAAATTGGGAATTAAAATATGGTTTTCCAGTTGAAGGACAGTTTTTTAACATGTAAACCATATTATCTCTGTGGCTGTCATAACTTGGATTGTTTGGAAATTTGTAAAAGTGTAACTTTGTATTTTTACAGAAATGTTTGCTGTAGTTCTACATAAGATTTGTATGGATAAATGATCTAAATTCTTTGGTTTTTTTTTTCTTCTTTTGTCTGAATAAACTAAACATTTGATTCCAAGTGTCATTTTAATTTAGGGGCCAACTAAGAATTTTGTGTTTAGTGTGACTATTAGTTTTGTTTATATTTTCTTTTATTTATTTATATATAGGAGGTCTGCTCTGGAAAGAAGAGGAATGAAAGTCAGTTGTGGTAAGACAGAATACATGTGTATGAACGAGAGGGAGGAAAGTGGAACAGTGAGGTTACAGGGGGCTGAGCTCAAGAAGGTGCAGGAGTTTAAGTATTTGGAGTCAACAGTCCAGTTTCATGGGGAGTGTGGGAAAGGTGAAGATGCGAGTACAGGCAGGTTGGAGTGGGTGGAGAAAGGTGTCAGGAGCGTTGTGTGACAGCTGAGTGGGAGCGCGAAACAAAAGAAAAGCGA